ACCTCCGATTTAGCACGGTTGGCTACGTAGGGTGTGAAAGAAGTTCAACACACATACTGCCCATAGACTAACACTACCCATAGACTCAACACTGCCCACAGACTCAACACTATCCACAGACTCAATACTGCCTATAGACTCAACACTGCCCATAGACTCAATACCCCCCATAGACTAACACTATCCATAGCCTCAACACTACCCATAGACTCAACACTGCCTATAGACTAACACTGCCCATAGACTCAACACTCCCCATAGACTCAATACTCCCCATAGACTCAACACTGCCCATAGACTAACACTATCCATAGCCTCAACACTGCCCATAGACTCAACACTGCCCATAGACTCAACGCTACCCATAGACTCAACACTGCACCATAGACTCAACACTGCCCATAGACTCAACACTACCCATAGACTCAACACTGCCCATAGACTCAACACTCCCCATAGACTCAATACTCCCCATAGACTCAACACTGCCCATAGACTAACACTATCCATAGCCTCAACACTGCCCATAGACTCAACACTGCCCATAGACTCAACGCTACCCATAGACTCAACACTGCACCATAGACTCAACACTGCCCATAGACTCAACACTACCCATAGACTCAACACTGCCCATAGACTCAACACTGCCCATAGACTCAATACTGCCCATAGATAACACTATCCATAGCCTCAATACTGCCCATAGACTCAACACTGCCCATAGATTCAACACTACCCATAGACTCAACACTGCCCATAGACTCAACACTGCACCTCCGATTATCACGGTTGGCTACGTACGGCGCGAAAGAAGTCCAACATTCAGCACATGGGCTACTCAACGTGGGGCTCCCAATGTAGAAAATAACCCAATAAATTATTTGTAAGACAAATAGTTACCGATGCCCCTTCGTGCGCGCAGCACACACACACAGAAACCGTGTAATAGCGTGCGTCAGCAGCAAGCTACCTTAGCAGAAACGCTGAACATACGCAGACGACCACCAACACAGTAATATTTAACCCAATAATTGTGTTTTTTTTTACATGTCATTTAATCGGGAAGTTTTCCAGGTATCAGAGATAAACACTATTCCGTTAACGCCACTCAGGAATGGAACTGGACAAAAATGCCAAAAGCAGAAACGCCCTTGCAAAATATTTAAATGCAGCAGGGGGCAGTGTAGCATGATCCATTGTAATGTCCATAACACAGGTTTTCTTTAGGTTAGATCGCGTAAATGTGTCGTTAAACCCGCCACCACCCGACACAGCCAACTAGTAAGGGTTGTCACGTAAACAGAACGTGGCCAATTCGTTACGAGTACAGCACACCGGTGTGTTGGAGAGCAAATCCACAACATTTACAATTCGACCATAATATAGGTTTTTTTTTGGGTTAGGGGCCATCCATAAATGACGTCATGCGATTTTGGACGATTTTTGACCGCTCCCCCCCGTCGTCACATGACGTCACAAAAAATCAGACCCCCCCCCCTCAAATATGACGTCACAAAGCTCTGCCCCACCCCCCCCCCCCAAAATAAAACATGCTTCAAATCGCTTTAAACTATTGTCAATGTAGTGCGTGTTTAATGTGGCGCTGCACTCTGATGTTGTAGAAAACATTTATTAAAAAGTCTATTTCATAAAGTAGAACGTGTTGTCTATATTTATTTAAAGTTGCGCATTTTGATGTGACGTCACATTTCTCAAACCCCCTCCCCCCCTCATCACACATTGTTACAAATGTCTGACCCCCCCCCCCCCCCCCCCCAGGTGTGTGACGTCATTTATGGACGGCCCCTTAGATAGAATAAATATAAATGTCTGTATTTTGGATATTGGTCGCGAAATGCATACTACGTGTTAAACCCATTGTACTGTACCTTCTATGCTCCCCACATCTGAGTACCCCCCCTGCATTCACCAGCGCACACTGACCAGGCTGATGCTGCTATGGTCAAATAACCAGAGCAAGACTGGGCCACGGCGTGGGATATATCGATCCAGCAGTGGACTGACAAAGTGGCCACAAACGTGGAGATGATTTTTGGTCGATGGTTTATCAAAAGCCACCGCCGCTGTTGCTGCTGCGAGGATGAGTGGAGTCACCCTCTCCATAAACCACCACAAGCGAACGGCAAACGTCTCTACGTGTGCTAAAGTATAATAATATTCCTTTTTCTACTTTGTGAAACTAAATTCGTGACCTTTATGGGAAGGGGGAATGAGTGTACAGAACTGTATTTTCACCGATTGTTGATCGGCCGGTGGCAGTCACTTCTAGGTCGTGGAAGAGTAGGCCAAGGTACCGGACGCTACCTCCAGTTGGGTGGCCCCCTTTCGTGAGCAGGCGGCACGAACGAGGACATTGCAGGGCTGCGCCTTGACAATTATTTACTTTCACCCGAGGCCTGTGTGCGCGTATCCTCAACACACCAAACTCAACTTCCTTTGGGTTCGGTGCCATCTGCTGGCGGGGATAGTCGGCCCACGTGTATTTACAATGATTATATACAAAAAATTGTATTTGAAATCTATCAATCCACTGCTGGATGATGCCCGCTCAAGCACGTGGAGGCTATTTTACGATACTTCACCACGCTGGTCTCATGGTGCGGGTTGCCGAAGGCGAGGGATCAGAGACTTGGCGTGACCAGTGCCGGATTAAGCTAGTGCGGGGCCTGTAGCACATGTTATAAAGGGGTCCTAAATAAATAAATAACCCCCATAAATATGAAAACACAAATTTTTCACTTGCAAAGTAAAGTAATTGTATTTTTTCATTTGCTATACGGCCAGAAAATACGACAAATCGCTAACCTCAAACACCCAGTCGTTCATAAAAGTTAAAGGCGGTATAGTACTATAGTAATAGAGCAAGTGCAGAATCACTGAACCGGAATTGATAGCTTGAAAGCATTTGGCGCGGGGCCCTTGAAAGTGCAGGGTCCGTACTACGTGTGTAGCAGCCAGAGGTGTGGACTCGAGTCATGTGACTTGGACTCGAGTCAGACTCGAGTCATGAATTTGATGACTTCAGACTCGACTTGGACTTGCATAACAATGACTTTGTCCCACCTCTGAGGTGTGGACTCGAGTCATGTGACTTGGACTCGAGTCAGACTCGAGTCATGAATTTGATGACTTCAGACTCGACTTGGACTTGCATAACAATGACTTTGTCCCACCTCTGGTAGCAGCTACTACATATGTAGTAGCTACTACATGTGTAGCTACTACATGTGTAGTAGCTACTTGTGCTACAAGGATAATCCGGCACTGCCCACCACAGCCATCACAAGCTGGCCACCGACAAGTGCTGCCTTGTGCAAGCGCGTTCCATAAGTTTTATATAAGCAAGCCGGTCGCTCACAGTTCACGGTACAACATTCGACGTCGCAGGAACCTTCGTGTTTTTTGTTTGCATTCCGACCGCAGGTATTGCGGTCAATGCAACCATGACTCCTTGTAAAAAAAAAGGTGTCAGTTTTGTTTCCAGATAAAAGGGTAAAAAAAACAATTATCTTATTTTGCTACTGGCAAAGGAGGTTTCCAATGGTGTTTACAAATGGTTTAGAGATGGGCAGGGCAGCTAATGGCCAATGTGGGGGCGGGCCATTGTATTGCGAGAGATTAGCATGTCAATGTAAGACATTTGAAGCTTGGCGAGAGGTGGACAGCGTAGTGGCCACATGGAGGTGGAAAAGAATGGCAAGCCGCCATTTACTAACACAGCTAACGGTGGCTGTGTTACTGGCATGTCCTGTAATCGCGATCATGAATCGTGATAATTCAATCGCCGACGGGTGGTGAATTGGTTAGAGCTCAACCTGTCACCATTCACAATCCTGAGTAAAATTCCCCCAAAAATGATCATGGGGAACTTCTGAAATTGTTATCGTAGAGCAAGTTGATTTTCCTCCCATGTTTTGTCCCGAGATGATTTTGAGGTGGCAATGGGTGTTCTTCCACAGACGACTCTTTGCAGCAGCGTCCTCTTTCAAGGCGGTCAACAACGTCAGTGGCTTTAGCACGTGGAAATTTACGGCAGCCAAATCCTCTAAAACGCGTATTTCTAAATGTGGAGGGGGGGGAAACCCGAAGGACCCGGAGAAAAATCCGCAGGGAGAGACACACGCAAACTCCAAATATGCATGTTTTCAGGGTCGGGATCGAACCCACGACCACCTGTATACCAGGCGAGGTAGTTAACATCTCTAGACCTGTTAACGAAGGAATTCGGTTGGCCCCCAATGGCCCACTGGGTGTCATTGTCTAGAGCGCCACTGAATAAGACGGGAAGTACAACACCCTTGAAATCACTATGGGAACCTCATTTGCCAGTAAAAATGATAATTGGTTTTTTACCCTTCTATCTGGCAACAAAACTGACACCTTTTTACAAGGAGTCATGTTTGCATAGACCGCAATACCTGCAGTCATAAATACAAACAAAAGACATAACTCTGATAATGTGCACTGTCCTTGAAGTTGATTGGTCCACACCCGAGACAGCTTTCCTTAGAGCCTAGTCTCACATGGGTTGGACCAGATGACGCCATGTGAGACTAGGCTCTTAAGGAAAGCTGTCTCGGGTGTGGACCAATCAACTTCAAGGACAGTGCACATTATCAGAGTTATGTCTTTTGTTTGTATTTATGACTGCAGGTATTGCGGTCTATGCAAACATGACTCCTTGTAAAAAGGTGTCAGTTTTGTTGCCAGATAGAAGGGTAAAAAAACCAATTATCACCCTTGAAATCGTGAAAATTGCGTCCTTCCATCAAGACTCCTTGTTTTGGATCAGCCCAAGAAGTCGCTGCCACAACCACGCGAGCAATATGGAACTTACCAGTCGATAACGTCTCATCTGTAGATGTATCTGCCTCTCTTGAATCCGTCAATGTGGGGGGACAACGTGGTAATCAAGCGGATCTGTTGGTGAATATTGACTTTTGACCGGTCTGGAAATAGGAGTCGAGACTAATATGGTGGATATAGCGTTTTACTCTAAAACGGAATTTTTACAATTCGAATTTCAACGGCGGTTATCGCACTGCAGAATAGTACATTTCTAAAATGCGCATCCTGTAAAATAATTACTTAATAAACAGTGTTAATGAAATTGCATACAAGCCTATACTGTGTAATGGTGTAATACATAACATGTTTAAATGTCCATTCATGTTCTGGTCTTACTCCAATTCCTCCTTGATAAAGCGTTGTACCCCTGATAGAATTTGTATTTTAAGTGTTCATACACCCAGATACGTTCAACGGAACATGCCCCTGACATTTCAGTTTCAGTCTCCGTACCCCACCAATAGCTCTATTTGTTCCACACATTACCCACTTTTATTCATTTCATCGAACATATTCCCACCTCTCAACTAGATAAATCAGAGGAATGGGAATAGAGTTTACACTTTTCAAAACCATAGAATATTGTCATTTACGAACATAGAAATGTTTTACCTAGGTCAAAGGTCGTAAGTTGTACGTGTCTAATCATCAATCTGGTTATTTCCGGTCACTGAGCCCTTAACTCGACTTCACAAAAAACAACTGTCACTGACCTGACAGCAGGACTCGCAAATAGACCCATGAAGTTCCTTACAATGTAAGACGTATGCAAAACTGAAGCCGTTTTGGTGTACACAGATGTAAATATGCACAGCACACACGGGTTTTAGTACGAGTGTAATTGAGAGATGCAGGATTGAAGATGCTATCTTCTACATGAAACTCAAGTATTATACTGCCATAAAAGATTACAATAAGGTTACAATCACATAACAAGAGAGAAATTCAACTGAATGTTAAAGTACAGTATTTTAAACCATAGTTTCGCCGTATTACAGCAGTGGAGTTATAACTTTGTAAATGGAATTTCAGCGTAAAAGTTACTTTCAGGATAATCATATTGCTTATTCGTACTCGTGTTGCTTAGACCTGTGAAAGACTTGCGAATGAAGCAGGACCAGACAGATATTTGAAAGGACCAGTCAACTTCAGACAATATCACCACCGATGGTTTAAATTTGATCGAATGCAGTTGAGCCCATTTTACTGAAACCGGTCCACAGTTGGTTTTCTGAAATAACTTCTGCTGGATAATATTGGTCTGGAAAGCCAATCGGATAGACCTGTGGACTAAAGCATATCTGTATTTATAAGTGTACGCACATAGCGTAATTCTGCTTTTATGCATGTTTGTACCCATTTCAATGAAGTGTTAACCAATCAGAAGAGACCAACTTCCCTGTATACAATACAAATTTTGGAATATCCGCAATTTCGATTGTAACCCAAGAAAAGAATGGACAGGTAACATTCCACTATAAATTTCCCTCCCCCCCACCCCGTGATCGAAATTGTCACTAAATGGACGTTTGCACAAAATCAAATGTAAGTCATAGGTCGGCTTAGGGGCTGTGTAATACATATAATATTACATATCCCTTTGCGCCTCTATGCAGGCATTGTAAATCGGGTGACTTTTTTTTTGCAGCAACGTTTGGATCATCTATCAAAGGGCACGCAATTCAAAAATCAAAAAAGACACTCACGCGCAAGCATAAAAACACATTCTTCAAACACAGACAGAACGGCCAAAGGCAACGCGCCAGAACCATTATATGCAATTCATTTGTACATCATTTCGTTTTTTTTTATACACGTTCAATTCCAAGGACCTATGCAAATGTATGTATATATGTATATATATTTTTTTTACTCTCTCTCCAAAATTATGGCGAGCCATTTGTTCAGAAAACTGAATAACCAGCCACGTAGTATCAATTAGAAACGTTGCTAAATATATATTTTTAAGAATGTTTATATTTTTTATTCGGCTGGTCATATACGTAAGAACAAGGCTTAGTTTACACCTTGGCCTACCTGGCCCTTGCAACATATAACACATTCATAATAAAGGTTTTTGGGTTAGATCGCGTAAGTATACATTTGATGTAACCCTCCACCACACAACACAACCACTAAGTAGTCACGTAAACAACGCGCAAATCAGTCACTACTTCAGCCCACCGGTGTGTTGAAGAGTAAATCCACATTTACAATTTGATTAAAATGTGGATTTAAGGTTTGTCACATTTTTTTACTCAAATTGTAAATTTTGTGGATTTACTCAACACACCGGTGGGCTAAAGTAGTGTTTGGGTGGTGGAGGGTTTCTACACATTGGTACTGACACGATCTCACCCAAAAACCTTTATTATGAATATTGGTCGTCGCGAAAGCCTACGTTATATAAAACATTGCCTCTGTAAATGATGGGACCTTCGATGTACTGACACCTCACTCCAAAAGGCACAAACACTGCAAAACATTTAACTTACGGAAAAATATCTCAGAGGTCCACACGTTATCTTCACGTGCTGAATATCGCAATAAAAATAATTGCCTTCTTCATATTCAAGACAGCATTCGGTATCTTGTATTTTCCAATTAGCGTGACAGGAGGCACTTATGGAGGCACTGTGGGTGAACAGTTTCTTTAGTTAAGGCCAAGTTAGTATTTTATAATTACTTTTATACAGCATTGCGGCACTAGAAATTGCAGTAATGCCTCTCTCTTGTGCACCTGTTCTCCCAACTTGCATTTTTTTAGTGTATTGCTTTAAGAGAAGCCAATTTCGTAAACTGCTACGAGCAGTAGAAAAATGGTACAAAAATTGTAAAGAGAATACCAGTGGGACGAGCATTTCATAAACATAATCCTTGCAACTGGTCTACCCCATGTTGTCTCAACGTGAAGTCTTGCAGCCGATGACGAAATCACCCAGAACGGTGCCCGATCTCGTCAAGACCTCGGAAGCCAAGCAGGGTTGAGATGGCAGATCGCCGTGCATAACAGGTTGCTATAGGCTGCTGCGGGGAGGCTATACTGCGCGGGCAGCAGAGGTTCAGTGCATCAACATCCATTGTACTGTACAATGCTCCCAACGTCTATGCTGCCCACCTTCACCAGCCCGTGCCAAGCAGTGCGGGAGGAGGGGGGGGTCATGGTCACACGACCCTCATGACCCGCAGCGCGAGTGGAGGCCGTCATCTAGCAGTGGATTTGGGCTATACGTGAAGTCCTACAGTGGCTACACTGGAGCAAAAAAAATTCAGTATTGAGATGTCGACTCACCGTTGACAAACAAAAAACAGCTCAACTACAATGCTCACAAACACGTAGTTCAAGTTTTATGCATTTAAATCAATGCACATATGACGCCGCTGCCAACGTTGCAAAGTGAAAAAAAGACATGCTCTGGGGAGGCGAGATTTGTTTCCGGAAATACATTTTTGAAACTGAAAAAATACAAATATTATTGCTCTCTCCGATGCGCTTTCGGGTTGTGCCGCGTGTTGTTTGGCAGCGTGACGCCGAGACGCTTCACCACAGGTGCTCAGTGCATCGTCGGAAACTTCCGTTCCTTCTTTAGGGAGAGCGGAGCGAAACGTTGGACCATCATATGCTGAACACCACAATGGGAGAGCTATGCAGTAGAGCTGCGATAAACCTACCCGGCACAAATGTTGTTTCGGCTGCTCTTATACTTCGACAAGGCAAAACGGATCAGCAAACTGGGGCAAAGTTAGCAAGGAGATTTTGAACGAGTGAAACATAGAAGCACGAATACAGAACAACACTCAAGAAACCAAATGATCCTGAATACAACCAATCCAACCAACATTCTGGCCAACGAGAATGGAAACAACACAAGAACCAACTGACGCAACACAACTCCTAACCATGGACAAACCAAGCACATGGCACAACAAAAAAGTTCCACATCCAACACCATGAGGTTAACTTGGACAAACACATTTACCAGTCACGAGATGTAGAATAACGAAAGCGACAGAGGTGAGTTAGTACAGGTGGTTCACAAGTCACACAGAGCGAGCACTTAGCCAGTACAGCAATATTCCGTCCTACGTCGGGGATGAGTTCCTGCTAATCCTACATAATGCACGGGCATAATATGACTTTGAGACCCCCCACCTCCTACGCATTCCACAAGTAGTGACTAATCCCATATCTGCATTTTCCATAAATATGCTAAATTCCTCTGTTGATATGCTAATTCCTTAGTCAAGGCGCCCTTCCTCCTTTAACCCAGCTTAAACGCTGCCAAGCTTGGTGGTGTTCATTCAGACGCTGTCTTTCCGACAGACCTGTTCTTCACCTGAGGACGGCTGCTTGCGTTTGTGGCCGAAACGTCGTGACAATTGTATTTTATAATATTTAAATGTTATTATTTTATTATTTCCCTTCTACGTGGCTTTACCGAAAGAACCAAGAAGACGAATTCCTGAAAGGTCCGACGACGAATATCGAAACGAAGTAAATCGAAGCGTTTTCTTGTCCAAATCACCTAAATACCATACGTATATAATATATTGTACTCTGCAGTACAGCAAATGTCTTTATGCGCAAAGTACAGGGTACGGTGAAGGCTGAAAGTCGACGGACGATGCAGTCAGCGACGTTAAGTGTGGGGATGAGGTGACGCAAATCAGGAAGTTGTGTTCACGTATTTTGGAAACGACGTAAAAGGGGGAGACGTAAATCTGGGATATTGTCGTACGACAGATCCTGGGGTTCGAAGCCACTCACATTGAAGTGCTTTGTGAAATCAAATTGTACTGTACTGCGGTGTAATTTCAGTCAGCTCTGATTAAACCGGGTGTGTTGCAGCCGGCTTGTGGTCTCGGCTTGGTCACCAAAGGCTGCACGCAAAGAAACCCGCCACGCCAAATGTAGCTTTGTCGAAAAATCTGTGAGTTTGATCATCGCCATGGGCAAACATTTCTCAGAAGCGGGGCACGTCAGAAAGTGCACGAAGGGATGGCAGGAGAGTTCTGTGAGAATATGATTGTGGGCCATTGTATAGCAACAGGAGGCGATTTCACCGCTCGCTACGAGTATCGAAAAGTTGTACTTCACCTCTTGACAAGACTCTTGACAGCCCAAATGGAATAAAAACTGATTTGGAAAAGAAACTGAATTCAGAACTCCAACAACAACCGCCATTCGCCACTAAGTGGCGGTGACGTCACCACGAAGCTTGTGCCAGGCCATGTGCACCTTGAGGCCACGTGAAGTGTCGAACGCCCGCTGGCAGGAGGTCACGGGGCAGACCCAGGTGCCAAGGGTCGACTGAGATGACTGGCTGATGCACCACCTGTGCCCCCTACTGTGCCAACTTGCTGTGCTTTAGCCACCCGGAACTCCACCAACACACACACGCACGGCTTACACTTCAATGTTACACATTCAGTCTGCGAAAGACGGGCACAGTTAACCAGAGTGGAGACCGAACGAAAGTAAGCGCAGCAGAGCAAACCAGCGGAAGAGACGGCGGCAGCGAAATAAAGTAAATAATTCGGAGGCCGCCACTGGACAAGAACAACAGAGTATTAAGGAACGGAACAAACACAGGGGAGGCCATTTGTCCAGCAGTTTGGGAAGTTACAGGGTGATAACATACACGAGATAAAGAGAACACTCATTGGCATTAATATGACGGGAGTCAAGACAATGTCCTTCATACACCGAGGCCAATGACCACCACAAACGCCTAAGCTGGGAGACAACTTGAGGAATTCCGATGGAGAGAAATGGATCACTGAACTTCAAAGTGGACTCGTCCAAAAGGCAACTTCACTTTCGCCTCCTGCACGCCACGTGGCAGTGTCTCTCGAAGACGTCACTCTTGTACAATGCGTTCTAAAAGCTATTTTAATTGGGGTGGGGTTTTTTTTATACGAATAATTAATGCTCCGTTTTGCCTTGGGTACAAAGTACGATCGCTGTTGAGAAACAAGGACGCGCAAAAATCGCTCACCGACAACAGAGAATGCTTCACCAAATGTGACCAAGTTGGCAGACGTGCATATGAGCAGAGGGGATTTTCAAATGTTCCGCTTACAATTCATGAAATGTACACAAATGTCTTTAAGCATAGTGAATTAAAAAAACACTTTCAGAAGCAAAAATATTTTCCCTATATTAGTATTGCTGTAACTTACACGCTGCAGTGTTGGATGCCGTTCTCAAGTGCAGTCGACGAGTGTAATGTGAAGCGCCTAAATCAAGCTAAACACGGAGAGTATACTACTTGTGTGCGAAAAAAAAATGTTACACAATTGCGTTATACTTAAAACATACTGGTAGTGTAACAAATGTAGTCCCCCCCCCCCCCACCACCACCACCACCCCAAGTCAGCGGTGACCAATACATGGATCACGATCTACGGGGTGGATCTCAGGACAAGTCAGAACTCTAACGAGCAGACAATTCTCTCTCGACCTGCTGATGCCAACTAAGCAAATCCCCCGAGGCTCAACAACTTGGACATCGAAACATTCCTGCCTAACAGACGGCGAGATTATGCGTTCGATGCCCATAGTGATAATATTCCACGGTTTAAATCCATCGCTCTTCACTGTTGGTGGACGAAAGCTTTCTGGTGCGTTGCCGGCGCCCGTTCCGAGATTCCACCACGGTGGCCCCAAGTGCTTGTTGCAATGGGCCACCGCTGCCTGAAGCGATGCGTGACAAAGTACACATCTATCCACTTTCGTGTTGAAATAATTTTCCTGCACGAGACGCATATTTTCTTTCTCAACACGTAGGTATATGTTGCAAAACGCAACGATATTTTGAAGCGCGGATCCCTTTCTTAGTGCGTCGTTATGGTGCGTATCGTTATTGTTTAGGGAAAAGAGTCAGCAAACATGCGGCTCCTGAGCCGCATATGCTGACTCTTGAAGGACAGCTTTATTATGAATTAAGGACCACCGTCCCGTACTCATCATGCATTGTGCCTCTTGAAATATTGGGGGGGGGGGGGGGGGGGTTTGTTGCGAATTCGATCAAAATGGCTCTTGTTATTTTGGTTGCCGACCCCAGGTTTAGGGTGTATCATTTTTTCAATGTGCCTTTTCCCCAAAAACGTACTCACAACCGTGCTTTCGTTATCGTTTCGAGAGCCTAAATCTACTTAGAAATCTCAGAGCAGCCCCGCAGATGATGATGATACGTTTCACCGGACTTCTCCAAAAAATCCTTCAAGTAGTTTTTTTTCTCTTCATCTTTTACAGAGAAGGGCGTGCACTATGCCATATTCTCTGCAATTAGATTGTCGCATGATAGTCAAACAGATGATATTAATACCCAGAGCTGGAATTTTAGTAATTGGCGACTGGGCTGAAACCATCAACTCGCTCCGTTTGACAATCCAGTTTCATTACGGGCAGCTGCCTGGATTTGAACCCAGGATCTCAGCGGTGATGGCTCAGCATTGACCTCGAAGCCACCCAACCAGCTTGATGACAAAACGTTATTAATGAACGCTTTTTCAAAACATTACACATCACTGCCACGTGTGCAGGGTGTCAGTAGAAGGGATCACCTATTGTTTAAACAATTATGACACCAGTTTCAGTGCGGTCAATTAAACTGCACAGATGTCCACAATGACTTCCGAAGTTTAGAAATGCTTCTGTTGAAAATAAAAGTAAATGTAGCTGAAGGAGGTTGCGGGCTCGATCCCGACCCTAACGGCTGTAGATTTGGAATTTAAATGACTCTCTCCTCGTTTTTTCTTCTCAGGGTCCTCCAGTTTTATTTTAAAACATGTCGTTAGATTATTTAGATGATTTTGCCTCTTAAAAAAATTCCACATGATGAAGCACTTTGTTTAACTATCATTTGTGGCCAGGTCGCTTCTAAAAAAGATGCTAATAGCTCAGTGGGCTTTTCCTGGTAAGATAAACAAAAAAAATTGTTTAGTTTTATTTGTATATTTTTTAAAACAGATTTCTTTACCTTTCCTACACTTTGCACTCCTATCGTGTTTTTGTATTGCTTGCTGTTACAACGTTCTGACCCACCACTACCGGACATCTGTGAAAAAATACAGCTTTATCGCCCATCAGATTCCACCAGTATCAACAAATATTCTGATTCTGATACTTGCTCACGTCACTGCGGGCAAAGGGGCCTTCACGAGAGGAAGCTCGAAACAGTCGCCCGTCTAGAAGGTGTTCGAACTATTCTTCCACGCTGGCCAGATGCATTGTAAGAGGCGAGTAACCCACGTGTTACCCCGCTACATGCCACTTGCTAACGTACTGCGTGGGGCACCCATTTACACCGCTCAATGAACAGTGGTAAGAAGGGGGGGTGGGTTTAGATTTACGAATTTTGCACCGTCGTTTCAACTGCCGCGCCGGGAGATCAATTCGAACCGACAACCTCCGGATTGCAAGTTCTGTTTTGTAAAATAATTACACCTATTAGGTATGAAATGAATACGTTGCGAATATTTCAACAATACAGTTGAAATAGCCGGTCTCATTATATTTTTTAAAATGTTGTCTTATTGATGCCGTAATTTTTTTAAAATTTAGAAAATATAAGCGATTCTGTCTCTATGCAACCGAGTTTTTTCTGACGCTTAGAGGAGGATTATAGGCTGCAGATGTCACTGAGGGGGTATAAATGCAATGCAAGGACGATCAAGTGTTTTTCATCTTATATATAGTAGTAGTTTAAATACAAACTACAGTTTCATGTGCTGACATTAGTTGAATAAAAATGTGCCGAAAATCGCACGAACTTTTCGCTTTACAAGTGCTTTGCTTGTCTTTTTGATTCGATATCTACATGTAAGAAATTAAGAGATTCTCATGATTTCATCGGAACACGTATAGGCGGGATAATACGAAGAGGGTAGTGTTCATTGTATTGCTGCAATGAGAGAGGAAAGGCACTCAAGGCGACTTCTTTGAGGCACGGCGGAGACGCGGACGGAGAAGCCGAAACGTAGAAACAACCTTGCAGGCGGTATAACCGACATCACCATCCTACTGTCAATTATCTTGGTGATATCGCATTGTCTTACAAAATTACATGACCCCCCCCTGCCCCCCATAAAATGGCTGAAAACACCTTAACCCTTTCCCATTCCAAGGCGTGTCTCCGAACCTGCAAGCGGCTCGGGATACATTTTATTTAGAGAGGCGTAGCGCCGTCGTTTTTCATTACACTCTACTCACCGCAGAGAACTGTAGCGACACAACCGCACTCTGCGATAGCTGGAGCCAAAACTGTACCACACGCTCTCCCGCGTGGCCTTGTGGGAACCTCGTTACCAATCAAGTAATTTTTAGTTTTTCTTCCGGTTTCGTTTTGATGACGTTCGTCATCGGAATGGAATCGGAAGAAAAACTGATGACGTACGTCATCGGAACGCGAAAGAATTAAGCGACCCACAGCTCCCATGTGCTGTAGGTTGTGCAGGGGGGCTGAGAGATACAGCATGCGTGAATGTCGCCACTGTTTAGAAACGCTGGTCGTCGTTGTCTTTTTGGTAAAACGTGAAAACGACTTTTCCTATACTTTGCTTATACCAAATAAGGGTTATTCGTAAAATGTTTGAAAGTTAAGATAAAAAAATAACTTTTTTTCCTTCCTGAATATTATTTGGTTTTAGTTTGGTTTATCAAAGATTGGATCACGAACAGCCGTAAGAGAATAAAAGAACCGTACAGCTAATACGACGACGACAAAAAAAAATGAAGAGTAAAGTTTGTCTTTGATTGACAGAGGCAGGCATGATATGCAATTGAGGGGTTAGGGAAAGTGCTAAAAACGCCCATTTTCTTGCATCAAATCAAACTTCAAGCAACACAACGACGTCAACTTCCTCCAGTCGACGACGATCCTCGCACTGGTTTTCTCGAGCAGCACTTTCCACCATCCAACGGCGATCAATCGGGAAGGTTTCATGCGTTCGTCAGATTGTCTTTCCTTTTATCGTTATTGTTCAGTCTTTTTTTTCCTATTCCTGTTGCATCTCCTCGTGTGTGTTTTGCCTTTCTTTTATTCCCCCACGGCTTGCTGTCCGTGCTGCCGTTAGCTAGTCCTGTGCTGACGCAGAACCGTGTAGATGTCATCCACCTTGCTCAGCCCCTCAAAGAGGGGCACGAGATCCAGGAGCTCCATGTCGGTCATGTCGTCGAACCAGGACACCACCGGAACCTACACGTGCACACGCACACAAAAGATAAAGATTCCCCCCCGTATAGCCTTAACAGACTGTTGGGGCAAGTTCTGAGTAGCACCTATGAAGGCCGGCACGGCACATGTGTGGGGTGAGTGGTCAGAACCATGCCCGGCCGCCTTTGTCTCCCCAGGGGCGATGTTTTCACATCGCACCAGGTATTCATATAAGGCTGAGTCGACCTCGGGGAGGCCCAGGACCGGTGCAGATAATCGTCACTGGTGTTGGCCGTGATCGAGAATCAAACTCGGGCCGCTGGGTTTGTAGCGCAGCACGCTTACCGCTCCCCACACACACACACGCAATGCAACGCGACGGAAATGCAACGCACACGCAACATGTACCTGTGTTGTATTGTATACAACGAGACAACACATCTGAGTTAGATGGGAATGGATGTATGTTGAACCTCTTACGCACCGTACGTAGCCAACCGTGCTAATCAGAGGTGCAGTGTTGAGTCTATGGGCAGTGTTGAGTCTACGGGTAGTTTCGATTTAATTTTAGATTTAAAGCTCCCCCCCTCCAACCCAGCTTAAATATACGCCCCAAGCTTGGTGGTGTTTCATTCTTCACCTGAGGACGGCTGCTTGCGTTGTGGCCGAAACGTCGTGAGAATTATTTTATTATGTTTTATTTTTATTATTTTATTACTTCCCTTCTACGTGACTTTACCGAAAGAACCAAGAAGATGAATCTATGGGTAGTGTTGAGTCTATGGGCAGTGTTGAGTCTATGGGCAGTGTTGATTCTATGGGCAGTGTTGAGTCTATGGGCAGTGTTGAGTCTATGGGTAGTGTTGAGTCTATGGGTAGTGTTGAGTCTATGGGCAGTGTTGAGTCTGTGAGCTGTATGTATGGTGAACCTCTTCCGCACTATACGTAGCCAACCGTGCTAACCGGAGGTGTGGGGAAGGACAACAAACTAAACACATAACAACAAGCAGTTCTAAGGAAGTGAGTTTTAAATCTAGATAATTTAAAAGTGCATAACTCCAGTGGCATCCTACTTTAGGAAGGAGGAAGACGTTCCAGACGGCCGCAGAAGCGCATCTGAAAACGCGCAATGCTGTGACCGTCATTGTTTGATAAGGCAGCGCACGAGCCACTCTCACAACTGTACTATTAGGATAAAAAAAAAATTTATTACACTGTGAAGCTGCCGAATTTATTCACTTCCCAGGCGCACAAAATCATTCCGTGCGTGGGAAGGCATCAACACAGGATAAAACAACAAATGTAGGACGATGCCACGCGGCTTTATTCCCACCACAGGTTATAACCGCAAGCTTCCCACTTCTGACACGGCAAAGCTGCATTGATGCCGCGCTTGCTTGCTTGCACGCACGCGAGTGCGAGTGTCCGCAAGTGGGCGATTACCGCGTTGTCAGGGTGGAATATGTAGGAGGCGGGCGAGTTGTCGATGATGATGACTTTGTTGAGCTCCCTGCCCAATCGGCTCAAGTCCTTGACGTAGTTGCCGTGGTGGAACACGCACGACTCGCGGAACAGCCTCGCCCTGAACACCCCCCACTTGTCCAGGAGGTCCGCCACAGGATCAGCGTACTGCAAGCGCGAAGGGCGAGTCATTGACCACAGGATCAGCGTACTGCCAGCGCAAAGGGCGAGTCATTGACCACAGGATCAGCGTAATGCCAGCGCAAAGGGCGAGTCATTGACCACAGGATCAGCGTACTGCCAGCGCGAAGGGCGAGTCATTGACCACAGGATCAGCGTACTGCCAGCGTAAAGGGCGAGTCATTGACCACAGGATCAGCGTACTGCCAGCGCGAAGGGCGAGTCATTGACCACAGGATCAGCGTACTGCCAGCGTAAAGGGCGAGTCATTGACCACAGGATCAGCGTACTGCCAGCGCGAAAGGTGAGTTATTGACCATAGGATCAGCGTACTGCCAGCACAAAGGGCGAGTCATTGACCACAGGATCAGCGTACTGCAAGCGCAAAGGGCGAGTAATTGACCACAGGATCAGCGTACTGCCAGCGCGAAGGGTAAGTTATCAGCAATCATCATCACCGTCATTTATCACTTGAAATTGCACTTCAAACGAGCGTTAAAATAATTCCCCAAGCACCAATGGATTCTATTGCACTGCCCCTCCTCTCGTGCCCACAAGCTGCTTGTTTAGCCAGATCAATTGACAGCAAAAATCATGCAAATTAATGGAATTGTTACATGCCTATTAATTATCCAGGAAAGCCCCACTGAGCCTCAAGAATATTTTTTCACATAGCTCCTGCATTAGGCTGTCAGGCCAATTCCTTTTTCCTGAGTGTTTTGCATATATGGGAGGAAACCGAAGAACCCCAGAGAAAACCCACTAACTTGAAGGGATATCGCGAAAAAAGTCCGCATAGACAAGCTCACAAAGCCACGTTCTCTACTGAAACCTGCTGGCCACCTTGCAGCTGTTGGATTATGGACGTGGGCACACAGATGCGCGCACACACACGCATACCAGAAAAACGTTTTAAAAAACGTTCGTGGCATCCTATGCAACAGGATCTCAAATCTCACCTTGGCAAGGCTGGCAGTGAAGAGCACGCACTCGAACAATTCGCCCATTCGTTTCAAAAACTCATCCACATGAGGGCGCTTCAGTACATAAACCTGCACACCGACGACATGCATGTCACGCCCATGCATAACCAATGACGGCTTCGAGCGAGACCTCAAAATGTTTTACCGCGGGCGGATTACGCCGGGTTGCGCATTAACCGTGCTCATCCTTCCCCCGCACCTCCGATTAGCACGGTTGGCTACGTACGGCGGTGGGAAAGAAATCAAACATCCATAAATAAATATATAACGTGCACACAGAATTTCATCATTCGCTGCTCTTCATTCATCGAGGGCCGGTGGACCTCAGTGTGCCGACGTACCCCCAAACAAGTCGGCAGGCAAACCGTATCGCTTGACGAAACTCCCAGCACAGGAAAGTGAAATGTCGAACACCGCCACCGGACAACGCGCGGTACAATGCAAAGACGTGTCTGGGCCGCTACGCAGCGCGTTCGCGGAAAAACCTACGCTTTAGTAACACAAACGAGACGTTTGGAGGCACAGTCTTCGCCGCGATGGCTGGAAGGTGCGGCGCGCTGCAGAGACGCCGTGAGGTCACGTGACATTATCCGCCGCCTCCTAACCCAAGTAGTCGAGGATAGGCTCTCTGGTAATAAACCAACCTATCCTGGATTACTTGAATCAGGCCACGGCTAGGATGCCAGTACTCGGCGTCTGTAACGGAGGTCTTCGGGTCCTGCCTATCACAGGCGTTCTGATTTTGCGCTCATCATTGCTTTAACTCAATGCAGCGGGTTCTCAAACTGTGGGGCGGGGGTAGGGGGGGTCCCAGGCAGGGGTGGGGGGGCAAAGCCTTTGTTTGGTTCCGTTCCGTCGTTACATCGTTGACTGACAAAATGAGAATATGGTGATGTGTTCAAGATACAATTGTGAAAAAAGATGTTCGCCTCCGATTAGCGCATTTCACACCTCCAATTAGCGCGGTTGGCTGTTGCGAAAGAAGTTCAATAGCATACAACAACATTAAAAGTATAAGGCACAACTTTTTTTCCCAAACAAAAGGTCGTAAAATAAAAGAAACTTGTATGTATTTACTCACCTGATGTATCGTTCCATCAATTTCAACAGGAACTATGAAATCGGCATTGTTGATTGGCTATTGAAAGAAAAGAAAAATGAGGCACAGTCATTAGCAACTTAAAACAAAAGACTTACATTGAAAACAGAAGCAACCGTTCAGCTCAGCACATTTGTGACGCCTTTCAAAATAAAGCGCAGACACCAAGCTGGCGACACACCACTTTTATTCGCCTAAAGGCTTCACTTTGCAATCCGATAGGAAACTAACGCAACGTGCAGCTATCAAACGCGTCATCACAATGCGTGCGCGCGCGTGCAAGCCAATGGGCCGGGCACGTGCGCCAAGGCGCGTGTGACGAAATAAGGACGGGGCGCATTTCAAAATCCGAAACGTTCGGCGGCGCCAACCAGTTGCGAAATTGTAACCAATGCAACCCAGCGTGGTGGTTGGTGGGGGGTGGGAATATTTCGTTATTTTTTTTTTGCTATCAGTCGTGAAAACCGAAGGTTCATTATTAACAAAAGAGGGAACCTCTCCACGTGAATACATTTCTAAATATAGTTATCCGTTCATTTAAATGTCACGTTCTTTTTCCAGTTGCGTACGCATAAGTGCTTGACGGGGGGGGTTTTTTCCCCCTCTCCCTCGCGTGGAGCTCCTTCCGGCGGCAGTGACACGAGCAAAGGAATTCCAGGACTGCACCTTGACCAACAAATAGCTGAACTGCAAACCACGCTCAACCTTTACACCACCTACATTCACATATTCTTACCTGGACACGTCCAGCGAATGCCAGGGTACCGCGGGCAAAAAATCAGAAGGCAATAACAAAGCGATGACTATGCGCGGGTATATTTAAACAAACATTCCTGTTTGCGCCCTGCCATTACGCTATGTAAGCCTGCCCTTTTACAGATTTTGAAACTATAATTTTTTTGCGTGTCCGGAGCAGAGATGGCGTGCACTGTATGGCCAAACAGGGTAAAGGTGCAGCCCTGCAATTGCTGTGCCCACGCCACCGCTGGTTGGAAGGGTCCTCCTCACTAGCGGGAACTCTACACAGCCCCAGTCCATCTAGAGGGTATTCTCGCCTAATCTGTCCACGCTGGCCAGATGTCTTGGAGTGTGGTGGGAGTACACAAACTTTACCCAACCATATATGACCTGCCGATTGACTCAACGGTGGGCGAACCCACTGACACTGCTGGGTGGACAAGAGAGAGAGGTTGGGACGATTTAAGAAACTCGCCACCATCGTTTCAACTAGCGGGAGATCGATATATGAACCGGTGACCTCTGCAAAGTCCGGCGTGCAAACGGTGACACACCACGGCACTGTACGCGGGTTTAAAAATTGTCTCTTTCTATTTATAAACGGCGTGGTGTGTTCACGTCTGATGGCGTGCAATTGTGGGCGCTTATTTTAGCTGAAGGTGGAGCCGCGACTGACTGTAAACGCCACATTCTCCCGTTAGGATCGAAATGGAACGCCACCATTCAGATAGGGTTAACAGGGCCCACACATTTCACGACTCACTTTTTAACAGGGCGTAAGATGGCTACTCAACACGTTCTAACCTTGCCAACCGATTTGCTTTGCCTAATCCTGCGTACTATAGTTATTACAACTCTTTGCTAAGTAAAAAACTGGGTTTCCTACATTGTCTGCCATTTTAGGGTGTTGCTGGACCATACTTCGCCACTATATGGCAGTACATTGAAAGCAATGGCATTAGTAGCATGCATTTAAGAAAAGAAAATTACCATGTTTGTCAATAACTTATTACATGTCTTTAAATGTCACTATTTTAAGAAAAATTATACATAATGTTCACTGTCTTCATGTAATATTACATATTTTATATAGTTTTACATTATGAAGAAAGTGAAAAGTACGAATGTGACTAGTTGATTTGTATTGATGCAGCACAACTGTGTTTAGGTGTGAACTATAGACCACTATAGACAACTTAACATAAAATAAACTATTCAGAATCGTCAACGGTCAAATACATACCTCCTAACGTCCAAACAGCAACTTTGCACGATTTCTTCTCCCGTGTCTTCTTCCTCCATTTCTCAAGGTTACTTTTTTTATTCGTCTACTTCCTAATTTTACCTCCACACCTATGCTCGGCAAAATAAAAACCAGGAAACAGCTGAATAACAATCAACGCTGCCGCTCCCCTTCTTTTATCACACATTCTTAAGGGTGTCCCCCCCCACCCCCCAAGTTGTGACACTTTATTTTTTCGATTTCGAGACTGAAAAACATGTTTTCGCAACGGGCGCGTGCGCGCAACAAACGCGACCGCTTTGCCAATAACGGTGACGTCGAAAGCGTTCTCACAGTCGCGACGGGTGAGAACGAATGCGCTCGCATCAGCCGTGTTCTATCCGCTGCTCGATGAAGCGCTCTCCCCTTCCCCCAAGCCATCGCTGATCTCTCGCGGTTTCCGCAACGCAACGATCCGCCGACGAGAATTTCATTTCGTCGCTCCCGTCTGTGCAGCGGACGTTCCCCTCCCCCCCCCTCCACTGCTCTCGGGCGTTCTTCCTCCTTCGGCTGCGACTCCATCGTTAGTCTCGACCACCGGCCACCGCCCCCCCCCCCCCCCCTTCTAACCGGCGTGTCCTGCCCGCCCAAGCCCACTTACTTTATGAACAAATATTTTTTTAAAGAAGGAAAACATTGCCCCGAAAGGTCATCGGTTGTACGCTTTGCTGTTGAGGACAGATTTTTTTTTTTATAAAGTATTGGGTTTTCTGTTACTTGTCATTTTCTCAACAGTCAATATGATATATTTAATTTGAATTTGTTCCCAAATGTATGAAACTTGTCCATGCCAAGTGTGATTTTCGGCTTTTGCTTTCCCATTTTCTCCGTCAATCCATAGTCATAGTGGGTGATACACAGCTGAAATTTACCGCTCATCAACAAGCAACACTTACAATTGTCCGTGTGAATGAATAAATCCTGAATGAGCTGCCAAAGTGAGTGCTTAAGTTTTAAACTTCGAGTATATCTCACGGAGAGGTCAGGGTACTTGTTGTACGGTTGCGTTCTCAAGCCAGCACTGGATTCATAGTCTGAAATACCATAAAGTTAATCTCAAAATTCATTACTCTTTTCATCACCATCGCGACCACCAAGGTTACATGTTCCAGTGAACATTACCAAAGCCTAACCGACCGACTCAGCCGACCGCATTTGACCGTACGGTGTTCAACCACCGCACTGCAGGTCACCTCACTTATCTATCTCTCTCTCTCTCCATGTCCCTCGCTGCGCTCCACTCTGGAATTGCCTTCCCATCGTTCTTTATCAGAATAAGAATCTTTATTTAGGCTGGAGGAATCCGATGGGCAACGGGGCTCTTTTTTACAGACGTCCATTCCCTTTCCCCCCCCCCCCCACAGCTCTTACAATAATAACCCGGCTCAATTTAAAAAACGAGTCAACCTCTATCTGTTCCAACTCTCACAGTGCTCTGCCTGTTGCGAGCCGCTAGGCGTTCTTGGGCACTTTGGACCTGTGCTCAGCGAACTGTGTTTGAAAAAAATATGTATCAGGTCTGCTTAATGAGTATTTAACGATTCCTCGATGGCAGTACCGGGTTATTTACTGGGTTGCAATTACAGTAATAAAGGGAAACATGAAAGTGAAAATGACACATAATGCAATCGTCATTAAAAAGCAATTTACACCAAACGCATCTTCGTCATACATGCAAAAGAAAGCGTACACCCCATTTGTCAATCCACTGCTGGATGAAGGCCTCCCCAAAGTCGTGCCAGTCATCGAGGTCGTTTGACAATACGTCACCACGCTGGTCAGTTCGGGTTGGTACAGGTTGGCGTTCGGGACCAGTTCAGGTATCACTCGCCCGCTGATTGTTAGCCAGTGCCGGCAAAGGAACGCAGCTCGCCGGCGAGCAAACCGCTTCACCGCGACTCCATCTCCACGACATACAAAACACAGCTTGCCTTTGCAAAGCTTCTAAATGCAACTGCATCTCAAGACGCCGCGGGAGAGACGGGGGGGGCGGCTAAGCGTACCGACAGGGCGTAGCAGAAGGCGGCTGGTAATCGGGAAAGAGGAGGGAGGTTTTTTTTTTCTCTCTTTGAGGAAGGAAAAGGGTGTTTATAAGGAACCGAGGAACGGGGGAGGGGAAGAAGCCTACAGTGTAAACGCGCAGCCCCCTTTTGTTCGCTCACCGCGAGGAAAAACCCCCGCGAGTCACGCGAGCGCGATGGCTATACTTCACCGTGCCGGTGCAGCGTGGGTTGGTTGGTGAAGGCGCGGTGAGGGGGGGGGGGGCATAGATGTAAGAGCACATACGTACAGTGCCCGAGGGCCAGCGGAGTGGTGGTTAGCGCACTGCACTGTAAACTCGGTGAAAAGCAAGTTTTGATTCCTGGCCAAAGTTAACATCTGTGACGAGTGATATCCGAACCGGTCTTGGGTGCCCCCCCCCCGCCTCGACCCCCCGATTCAATAAACACGCAACAGCCAGCGTACTGCAACAGGGCCGTCCCCCTAGAGTGGTGCAGGGCGCGGGAAACAAAAAAATAAATAACACCGGTGCGGACCCAACGGCGTTTTCAAACTAGCTGAGAAGCATTACATCTGACGCGGCGACGTCGAAGCGCGGGAGGGACCCCCAAAGTGCGGGGCCCGGGGCCGTCGCCCCGCATTCGCTGTGTTACCCTAGGGACGGCTCCGTACGGCAGTGAAGTATAGTCAGACGACTCCCCCCGTCACCCCCCCCCCATGACCAACATGGAGTGGCAGACCATCCAGCAGAGGTCCGACAAAGAGGGCTGGCTGTAAGTTATTTTGATAATCAGTGGGCTTAGAGTCAAAACAAAGGAAACATGGAAACAAGTACAATACGCCAATAGTAGCCATGAACAAGAAACAATTCTGTTTTAAAGACCAGTATTCACGCAACTTGAATGGACCCATTATGTCGAGGGAAACAGAGGGTCGTGCAGCAGAAATCCATGCATTGTACTTGTAAGCTCCTAGCATCGACGCTCCCTGACTTCAACAATCCACACTGACCAGCGTTGTGAAGTAGGGTCCACAACGAACCCGTACGGCTTGTCAAGGGGCCCGCCACACAGCAGTGAGCTGACAAAAAGGGGTTGTTTGTGCAAACTGCTGTCCTGCGGGCTCTTGAAGCGAGCAGATGATATTCGACGCATTCGCTGAATATCGCGGCCGAGAAATTTCATTCACATACCCACCAAAAGCGTACGATCACTACAGCACATGAACCGATACATTCTTACTGGTGGATGGCATGTTTTTATCAATGGTAGATGACATGAGTGCCATCATTGTATCAACATCGCAATCAAATCCATATTGACCACAAAAACCAAAGCATCATTTACATTTACTTCCATAACCATTACAATAATTACTACCACCACCACAAGTATCACCACCATCAGAAGCTCCAATTTAAAAATGACCACCAACACAACTTCCCCGATTTCATCACCACCGCCACCAGCACCATAACAGCAACCACCACGACATCACCAAAGCCATGATCAACATTTCCAGCAGCGCTACCATCACCAACACCAATGCAAATTAATCTGACTAATATATCTGCGATTGCTGCCTTGGCAGTGGTGCATAAGCACAGCGAACACAGACTTAACAACTACATCAATAAGTCTGCCCTAAAAGTATAAACAAATAGGTGATCTTCTTGGTTCTTTCGGTAAAGTCACGTAGAAGGGAAATAATAAAATAATAGAAATAAAAGATAATAAAATAATTCTCACGACGTTTCGGCGTTGTGGCCGAAACGTCGTGAGAATTATTTTATTATGTTTCAGTTTTATTATTTTATTTTTTTCCTTCTACGTGACTTTACCGAAAGAACCAAGAAGATGAATCCCTTCAGTCACGAAAGCTTTAAATCGAAATAGGTGATGTGTCAGGCAGTGTCCCGTACTTGACCTACGTGCAATTAAAAAGAACCACTGCCTGACATTGCCTATAATCGTACAACAGCTTCTCTCCTTTTAGGGCAGCGCTATTGGCGAACGTGTTGGGGGCTGTTCATGCTCTTAAATCCGAGTTGTTGTTGTTTAAAAAAAAAACTGCTTCTTACCGTGAAGCTAGGGAATGTCAGGGCGGTAAACGTCTCACCTTGAAGGAACTGTGAACCAGCGTCTCGTCAAGGTCGATCACCACGCAGATCCGACCGGCGTCGCCCGGCCGCACTTCGCTCAGGAGGTACTTACTGGTCGGCTGCGTTTGCGTTTGGACATTGAGAGAAACAAAAGCAAGCAGGACGTTACTAACAGGAAAGAGTTGTTGTGTTTTTTGTTGTCGCTGGTTTTTTTTTTTGGGTGTTTTCTTACGAGCGTGCAATTTTAGGGAAGAAAGCGTAGCTGCTTCTAGTGATGGTTCCGGTTGATTCCCTGACGCAGCATTCTGATTGGAGGGGAGCTGCCTGCCATTTTGTTTTTATACCAAATCCCATAAAAAGCCAATGATCTTATCAAAGCATACAATAGTGACAAATTATAAATTGTATGCACATAGCCAACATGGTATGTTTTCTTTTAAACCGTAAACTCAAGATAATTGTAATGTCGGTGCCCGGGTGGCTCAGACATCGTCAAGAACGCCAAGTTGGCCCGGCTGAGATCCCGAGTTTGGCAGCCAGGCGCAGCTGTCTGTGATTAAACCAGATTCTCGGGTGTCATGGAGTTGTGATGGTCTCAGCTCGGTGACCAATGACCGCACACACAAAAAAACGAATCGCATTACATTAGCTTTTTCACTTCACGTGACAAAATTCTAGTTCTGAGACTTTTAAAAATAATTGTGACTGTTACGGGTAAACATTTTCTTGAAGCGTGTTTAATTTCTTGTCCTTCCCCCGCACCTCTGATTAGCATGGTTGGCCACGTACGGTGCGGGGAAAGTGCTGCCCCCTAATTTGTGCACCAGCGTTCACTTGGAGGGATATGAGAAGTAGTTCCCCGATACCTATCTTTTAGGGCCGCTTTCCAACTCGAGTAGGTCTGACATGTTCTTTAGCTCCGTGACCCACCTGGCTACAGCTTACGATGAATATTTACTGGGAGCATATCACCACCGATCAGCGGCTACACCCAGATAAACATTTCAGACAGGAGAAAATTGCTTCCTTATGAAGAGTACTTGAGTCAGAAATAAGTTTCATTTCAAGCCATGTGGTCATTTTATGCCAAAACGGACATACATATTACATGTATCCAAACATAAATATACCTCAAGATGTAAAATTTACAATGTTAGATTTATGATTTTTTTTATCAAAAATGGTCGAGGATGTATAACGTTGTAAGGCGGAAGGGTGGGGCATTTGCCCCTTCCCCCCTTTCCACCCCCATGCCCCTCCCCCCCCTGCCACCCCCACCCCCCAACAAGTGTACCTCTGTACCACCGACGTTCCAGCTTCAGTCCCATCAACATGCTCACAGAGTCGCAACAAAAACTGGCAAGTCTTTTCCCCACCTGTAATAACGACTTCTCCTACAACGTCGACGGAAGAGCACGGAAGGGAATCCCCGCGACCGCGTTGTGAAACGTGCCCCTGCCCAAACCTGGGCGCCACGGTGGCGAGATGTTAACTACCTCGCCTGGTACACAGGAGGTCGTGGGTTTTATCCCGACCACGACGCCTGTATATTTGGATTTTGCATCTCTCTCTACCCGTGGTCGCGTAGATTTTTCTCCGGGTCCTCCGGTTTTTCCCTCCACAGTTAAGAATCAACGTGCGTTTACATTATTTGGCTACGAACACATTTCCACGTGAGCCACTTTCGTTGGGCCATCATTGGTGGCCTTACCTGGTAAAATAAAATAGAAAATAGTTCAATAGGTTTTACCTCGTACGACGACGCTCTCGCGATGGACCCGTTCTCGTCGAGCAACCCGGCGCCGGAGCCCAAGCTGTTGCCCGTGCCGGGCCCAACGCCGGCCCCATTGGCCGGCGCATCCCTCCGCTCGGGGCTCTCGGTGTGCCGCAGGCAGCAGAGCAGCGAGCGGAAGATCCCGCGTCCGCGAGGCTTCTTCTTGCCCGAGCCGCCGCGGGAAGGCTGCTGTTGCTGCTGCTGCGGCAGCTGCTGCACGCTCACTGTGTGCAAAAGGGAGAGCGAGAGAGACAAAGGGGGTGGGGGGGGAGACACGTTTAGTTTGTTGTCCATCCCCCTCCTCCCGCCTGTCCCTGCACGCATCACTCATTAGCACGGTTGGTTACGCACGGTGCGAAAGAAGTACAACATACATATACATGCGAGTTTTTAACGTGCACACAAGTTTCATCATTCGCTGGGTCCTCACTCATCGAGGGCCGGTGGACTTCAGTGAGCTCACGTGCCCCCAAACAAGTCGACAGGCAAACCGATCAGCTGACGAAGTTCAACAGACGTGCGTGCGTGCGAACGAGAAGCGAGCGAGGATGAATTCCTTGCGCTCGATCACACGCAGTTGTGACACAAACACAGTGAGGGGCCTACAAGACAGGGAAATGGAGTACAGTAACGTCGTGACTCGCTGCATCAGTTACCGGCAGTAAATAAAACACGTTAACTTGTATTTATAACTAAACGTCTATTAATACGTACCCCTTCGACAATCTTGAGACGTTTAAGGAAGTAAGATTTCAAAAACAAAACTAAATTTAGTAATGGACATGGAAGTGCCAAGATGGCTCAGCAGCCACGGCCGAGTCAGCTGCATGACCACAATCCAGGATCGTGATTCAATTCAAGAGTAAATTATTTCTCTCTCGTTTGTTCCTTCTCCTTTGCACTGTTCATCTAATTCGCTGTGCATTGTCTGTTGCTTCATTTATTCCATTTGCTTAAAAGGTAACATTTACATGTAATTCCAAACATTATGAATAATAGATTTTAAGACGCGCAGTCGGCGCTTGTATTGTGAGCTGAACAATTGATTTTCATTTATTATTATTATATGAGTTGTCTGAGCTCCGTATGGCTTTTCAATTTTTACACAATTTCAGAAATGTACTTATTTTTTACATCATTCTTTAAATATATTCAGAGTAGAACTCCTCTCACCTGCAATGATGTGGAGTCATTCTGTGACGAACATGCACATTTTTGGATACGTTTCATTTGAATTTATGCCCATAAAAAACACCTGTTACGCGCCACGATTGCAGGCTGTACGCACTCCCATGTAAGACACCTTTCACAAACACAGAACTCATGAGAACTATGACTGGCGATGATCACGAGGTTACTTACTTTTTCGAACACCGAAAACAAACTTCTCTCGGGATGACAATGACGACGTTAACGATGGTCAGCGGACGGGAAGTTTTGCGGCGATGTGGTGCATCCCCCGCATCGGTTCGTACGTAACAGACAATGCACGCGGCTTTGTTTAACTCCAGAGGGGCATCTCCCCAGCGTCTCCTAGTAGCCGCCGCAAGGGCATAACCTCACTCACGTGATACCCAGGGGCCATCCATTGTGTACGTACACAAAAATCTGTCAAAACTTGACCCCTCTCCCCCTCCCTGTAGGCACGCGTACTTTTTACACCCCCCCCCCTGCGTACGTACGTTTGAAGCACCCCCCCCCCCCCGAATCCTATAGAACGGCCGATATTTAATCCACACAAAAACCATCAAGGATTCATAATATTCACGTGTTTAAGCAAACAGATAGTCCACCGCCGGCTGCATTATTATCGAGGCTTCACCGTCCCCCCCCCCCCCCGCCGTTTCCTATGCGTACAGACATTGTCAGTAGACCTCCCAAAACGCAAGCGTACGCATTTGGGTTACCCCCCTCCCCGCTTCCCTCCATCCATATGTACTAATTGGATGGCGCCCTACCGGTCCACAATAAACAATTAAAATAATCACGAGCCACACTGCAACCAGCCCATTTTACCTTATCAGTACTTGGCCGATATCAGACGAGAGCTAAAACGCTTCTGCAATCTGCATTACTATGGGGCAGGTGAAACTTGTGAAATGTACATTGTAAATAAAGATGTGGTATATGAAGATGTGCTGCAGTACATATTCATTCACGGCGGTTGACACATAGAGCACGTTCCTTAAAATCCACCCCCGCCCCCTCATCCTTCTTGTGTTTGGGCGCCACAGTGACGAGATGACAACTACCTCGCGTGGTATACAGGAGGTTGTGGGTTCCATCCCGAACCTGACACCTGTATATATTTGGAGTTTGCATGTCTCTCTCCCCGTGGTCGTGTGGATTTTCCCACATTTATAAACATGCATTGAGATTATTTAGATCAGTTTTGGTGCTATTAATGTCGAAATGATGGGCCACTTTGTTGAGATATCAATTGTGGCTAGGTCGCTTATGAAAAAGAAAATACTAAATTAAAAATTTTTAAATTGTAAAAAAAAATGTGGGCACACTTAACCCTCCCAAAACATCTGGCCAACATGGAAAAGTAGGCCAAATATTAACCCTTCCAAGACATCTGTCCAACATGGAAGAGTAGGCCAAATACCTTCCACTAAAAGGGCTCTATATAGCCCCCCCCCCCCCCCCGGTGGAGGCCCTTCTACCAGCAAGTGGCACGAGCAAGTTATCGCAGGGCTGCACCGACACATTTTATTGTGCACTTGGGTATTGTGTGTCATTGTCAAAATGCAAGGCTTGATCAGTCATCTGGGGGTTATCATTTATATGAACAGGTCATATTATATCGAACAAGCCCGTTTAATGTATTACTGATACCATAAGTTACGATTTATCCACTGCTGGATAGAGCCCCCCCCCCCCCCATGCCGTCACCATCCCCACATGGTCACGCGATGCCACATTCCATCAAGCCCAATGGGGCGGACAACCAGCGGCTCCGAAACCGCATGCGGTGGCTCTTCAAGGGCCGCTTCATCGTGAGACGTGATTTATTTATTCAAGACCACCAATATCACCTCGTATTCACCAAGCGGTACATCGCGGGCCGTTAAATGTTGAGGTTTTTTTTTTATTCGTTACCGAATTCGCAAAAAATTAACCCGTAAAAACAAAGTTTTTCACTATAAATCCTTTATATGCGTGGCGGCTAGAGTCCTCTCGTACTCTGGCTTGAGATGGCTGCCACCTATGGGTCAGATGATTGTCTGCCAGCATTAAGCAATTGGTAATACATTTTTTTTCGCTAAACAGTGTAAAATTTTGGAAAAACATTTTCACGAAAATTTATTGTCACGCACAACGAGTCTGTGTGGAAAATGTCAGCTCGATTGGATCACGGGAAGTGGGTTAAAAAACGACCGAAAGATTTGCACGGTCGTAAGCAAGCAAGCATGCAAGCAAGCAAGCAAGCGAACTTAATATAAAGGATTTAAAAAGTGGCTCTTCTTAGTTTTGTTGCCGACCCCTGATCTAGCCCCTTGCGCACGAGCTGACCTCACCGCTCCATCTGTATACGAATTTGATACTTTGGGTATTGTCACCAACCCACACTTACCAGTGTGCTGAAGTACTCTCACTGTCCCAACCACACCACACCATACGTCCCCCAATGGTGGTGCAGTCTAAACCACTGACAACATATTTAACATACCCTTTGGTTTTGATTTAAAGCTTTCGTGACTGCAGGGATTCATACTCTTGGTTCTTTCGGTAAAGTCACGTAGAAGGGAAATAATACAATAATAAACACAATTTTTTTTCCCTTCTACGTGACTTTACCGAAAGAACCAAGAATATGAATCCCTAAAAATATTTTTTCTTATATTTCTATTATTTTATTAGAACCAAGAATATACTATTTTTGGTTCTTTCGGTAAAGTCACGTAGGTATAAAATAAAATAAATCACGACGTTTCGGGCACAACACAAGCGTCCAACAGCAGGTGGGAAAACATGCTTTCATCAGGTGGAAAAGCATGTTTTCCCACCCAAAACGTCGTGATTTATTTTATACCTACGTGACTTTACCGAAAGAACCAAAAACTATGGATTCCTGCAGCCACGAAAGCTTCAAATCAACATATTTAACTTTACGCTTTGGAAATTTGTTGTGCGCTGCGTTTTGTTTAACATTCCAACCACTGGGGGTATCCTGCGCTCTTCCATTTCCCGATGCCTCTCGCTCGCGTTCTCCACGTGGAAAACGGAAATCCATTTACAGGCACCCCAAACATACTTCTCATGTCCTTCTTACCTTGTGAACGCGATGGCTCCATAGTTTACAGAGTAAAAGTGTTAACACATATTGTTGGTTCTTTCGGTAAAGTCACGTAGAAGGGAAATAATAAAATAAATATAATAAAACATTATTTAAAAAATATTTTATTATTTCCCTTCTACAAGGACTTTACCGAAAGAATCAAGAATATGAATCCCTGCAGTCACGAAAGCTTTAAATCGAAATGTAAGTGTTAACACGTTGAATAAGCGGATTGCGAGATGTGTAGACGTTTTGAAATCAAATCCTTTATATTAAGTTCGCTTGCTTGCGTGCTTGCGTGCTTGCTTGCTTACGACCGTGCAAATCTTTCGGTAGTTTTTTAACCCACTTCCCGTGATCCAATCGAGCTGATATTTTCCACACAGACTCGTTGTGCGTGACAATTAATTTTCGTGAAAATTTTTTTCCAAAATTTTACACTGTTTAGGGAAAACAAATTAAATATTTAATTACCAATTGCTTAATACTGGCAGACAATCATCTGACCTGTAGGTGGCAGCCATCTCAAGCCAGAGGACGAGAGGAATCTAGCCTTCACGCATATAAAGGATTTATAGTGAAAAACTTTGTTTTTACGGGTTAATTTTTTTCTATACTCCTTCATTATTTTACTGCGGCGTCCATAAATTCATCGCCCTGCATTACCTGGCTTCTCAACTTCAAGTGGCCTTCATAAATTCCACATGCATTCATACAATCATTTCACCGTAAGCAGATTCATGTATTCCCCCATATTCTCTAAAGGGCATTTAAGGAAAAAAACATTTACCACAGTTCCTTAAGCAGAGGAGGGGGGGGGCATCATGTATATTAATCAATCGCTCGCGATACCATCCTTGGAAAAGTGCGAGGATGAATGTAGCTCATTGTTGATTTATGAAAATGTTATGGAAATATATTCCCTTGAGGCCACTTGGT